TTCTTCTTCACTCTTTTTAAAAATACATTTTTTCTAATATCTTTAGTTTTTACATTCCCTATATTTCCGACCGTATCCCTCCCCCACAACCTCTGAGTCAAGCTGTCCTTTATAGTTAAGAATTTTAAAAAGCAGAACGAAAAGTTCAAGAAACTAACCAACATAGTGCAAAAGTCTGATTTTATAAGCAGTGCTCCCCATCCGTAACCCTCACCTCGGCAGGGCTGAAGGGAGGAGACATCTTCTCACATATCTTTTTGGGGGCTAATCTTGGTAATGATAATTTTGCCACATTCAGTTCCAATTGTTTTATTGTTGTTATTCTTTTTATTCATATTGTCGCAGTCATGTATATTGTTTTCCTGGTTCTGCATACTTCATTTTATATCAGTTTACATGTTTTTCCATGATAGTCTTTTTCATATTCATTGTTTCCTACAACATAATAGCATTCCATTACATTCATTTATTTAGCCATTCCTCAATCCATGGAAATCTACTTTGTTTCTAGTTTTTTGCTACCCCAAAAAGTACTGCTATAAGTATTTTGGTGTATATGGAATCTCTTTTTTTGTCATTAACCTTCTTAGGGTATATGCCTAGCAATGGGATCTCTGAGTCAAAGATGTCCTTTAGTCAATCTTCTTGCATAATTCCAAATTACATTCTAGAATTGTTGGCCTGATTCACAGCTCCAAAAACAATGTATTGGCAATTATCCTTTTTATATACCCTCTCCAATATTGACTTTTCTCATCTTCTGTCATTTTTTTGGCTAGACAATGGGGTTAAGTGACTTGCCCAGGGTCACACACACACAGCTAGTAAGTGTTATGTGTCTGAGGCCAGATTTGAACTCAGGTCTTCCTGACTCCAGGGCCGGTCCTGTATCCACTGAGCCACCTAGCTGCCCCCATCTTCTGTCATTTTTTGTTTTCAAATATGCTGAGAGTGAGGTTGTTTTGATTGGCAGTTTTCTAATTAATGATTTGGAGAATTCTTTCATTGGTTGTTAATAGCTTTCATTTTTGTGAAGTTTATTCATATTTTCAACCACTTATCTACTAGGGAAGAACTTCCTTACTTTTTTATCTCAAAATCTAGCTGTTGCTTTATTGGCCAAGAACCTTAGCATAAATTTTCTCATTTAGTTATCCTACATTATTCTGAATCCTATAGAGTAACAAACTTTAGAACAACAATCATCACAGTAAGGACTGGGGTCTCCCAGTGGGCCATGATTTAATCCTAAGGAGAATATGTCATAGCCATAAAAGGCAAGTGATTAACCCAATGGAATATAGTAAAATGAGTCAAATCCTACCCTCCTCATAACCAAGAGTTTTGGAGTTCGCCTCTGACATAACCACACCTACCCTTCACACATTTTTCTCTGAACAGCTCTTTATTGTACCTCCTCCCTATTGTGCTTCCAACCGTCCCCATTTTGCCCCTGCCATAGATCCTTCAGGACAGTAATAATCTACAGCAGTAGCTGCACAAGCACCATTTGTAAAATTACTTCCCCTAACCCATATCCAGTGCCCCCAAGATGACTGAGGTAGGTGTTGCTTGGAGGATAGGCTCTATACTCCAGAGGTATGACTTGTGAGTAAACCATTAACTTATACTGCTTTGGGTTTAACAGAGTAATATAGCCAGCAGTGCATGCATATAGTTAATAGGGACAGGAACTGGACCTGTGATTTCATTAGTATAGGGAAGTCCTGGGTGAGGAAATACTCTCTATCAATGCAGGTCAGCACCTTCCCTTAAATTTATAGTCTTAGTTGCTTAGAGCACAGAGACATTGCTAGTCAGTAACCTTTATTAAACACCTACCAAGTGTCAGGCACTATGCTAAGCTTTTGGGATACAAAAGACAGTTTTTGCTTTCTAAAAGCTCACAGTCTAATTAAGGAGACAACATGCAGACAATCATGTTCAGACAAACTATATACAGGATAAATTGGAGATAATCAACAGAAGGAAAGAACTAGCATTATGTTACAGTAGAATAAAGAAATTGAGTCTAGACAATGATTAAGCAATGTACACAATCTGCAAAATAAACCAAGACTAAACTCTTGGTAGTTAAGGACCCAGAAGCTTGGTTTCCTCTGGTCAATATACAATTTGGAGAGAGTGAAAAAATAGGATATAGGGATTAAGACACCTGATTTCTTCTTGGTGGGTGGGTGGGGATTAAGAGACACTCAGGTGAGGGGTAGAGGGGCACTTTTGTGGAAGGGGAGTAAACTTGTGCAGTTTCCAAAATCAGGTGACTTCCATGGAGTTTGAAACTTAACTTCAGGCGCAGCTAGGTGGCGCAGTGGATAGAGCACCGGCCCTGAAGTCAGGAGGACCTGAGTTCAATTCCGGCCTCGATCAAACACTTGACACTTACTAGCTGTGTGACCCTGGGCAACTCACTTAGCCCCAGTTGCCTAAAAAAAAAAAAAAGCAAAAAAAAAAAAAGAAGAAACTTAACTTCACAAAACGGTTGAGAAAAGACAAAATGGAATCACTGATGCTAATTTTTCATGTAACATTTAAGAGAGATCAGAGAAGACTTCTTGTAGAAGATGGGATTTTAACTGGGACTTGAAAGAAGCTGGTACAGATAAGAGGCAGAGATAAGGAGGGGGAACAGAGCAGCTAATGAAAATGCCTGGAGTCTAGAGATGGAATGTCAGGTGCAAGAAATAGCCAGTGTCACTGAATCACACAGTTGGAAGTAAGACATTTATTAAGTATCTACTATGCACCAGTCATTGGGATAGTGCAAGTGCAAAGAGAGGGAAAAGACAGTCAGTCTTTGTCCTCAAGGAACCCACAGTCTAATAGGAGAGACAGCAAGTAAACAAATATGTACAAACATGCTATATACAGGATAAATAGGAAATAATCAACAAAAGGAAGGCAACAAAATCGATCAGGAAACATTTCCTGTAAAAGGTGAGGTTTTAGCTGGTACTTGAAGGAAGCCAGGGAAGCCAGAAGGCAGAGATAAGAAGGGAGAGCATTCCAGGCATCAGGAACTGCCAAAGAAAATGTCTGCCGCCAAGAGATGGAGTGTTTTGTTAGGGAACAGCAACAAGGCCAACGTCACTGGATCAAAGAGTACTGAGTGGGGTGTAAAGTATAAGAAGACTGAAAAGGGAGCAGGTTATAAAAGGCCTTGAATACCTAACCGATTTTGTGTTTGATCCTGTAGGTAATAGGGAACCACCGGAGTTTATGGAGAAGAGGGTGACATGGTCAGCCATGTGATTTATGAAAATCGCTTTGGTGACTGAATAAAGGATGGAACGGAGTGGGCAGGCAGACTAACCAGCAGGCTATTGCAGTAGTACAGGCATGAAAAGATGAGGGAGAAGAGGGAGTTCTCAGTGAATGGCCTCAATTTTTTCTAGTAAAATATGAGGCAAGATTCTCTGATGAGAGGGTAGGGAGAGGAGGAGCCATGAGAGGTTTGAGGAAGGAAGAAAATGTTTCAAAGAGTAGATATGGAGAGTGGGAGTGAATTGATAAGGGACGTATAAAGGGATTGTATAGTAGTAGTGAGGATACAGTTGAGATTATGTAATAAATTTGTAGCGGACCCAGTGAGAATTAGTTGCATAATTTTCTCCACCTTCATTCAGCAGCACATGTGTAGGAACAAAGGCAGCAGATGGTGGGAGCGATCTAAGGCTGAGGCTTGGCAGGGCACAATCAACAATATGATTAAGACAAAGGACTCAAGAGAAGAGAGTGGAGTTGAAATAGTTCATCAAGGAGTAGGGTTGGCATGGAAAGGCAGAAGGAAAGGTAGAAAACCAGTAGCTTGTGATATGATAAGTGAATTTCAGCGTTCTTGAATGTAGAGGTGGTATATTTGTGGGTGATGACAAGATCAAGTATGACCATCCTTGTGTGGCTGAGTTGCGGTAGAGGAGTGAGTCATGGGAAAGAAGTAGATGGAAGAACTGGTAAGTTAGGGTGTTTGAGGGAGTATCAATATATATGTTGATGTCCCCTCTTTGGAAGGCAGGATTTGAGGAGGAAAGACTGTAAGCTAGCTACTGAATTCACTGAGGAAGGAAGAGGAATGTATTGGAAGCCTATAGACAACAACGATCAGGATTTTGATTAGGTAGAAGATGCAGATTTTATGAACATTGTGGGAATTGAGTGAACCACACTGACTCCAACTCATGACTAAATTCCTGATCTAGCTCAGTTCCCTTTCTATTCAATCATGGTTTAGTCCAATTTCTGTCTCGTGAGAAAATTTTATTTGATTGTGAGAAGGCTTTAGTGCATTGTTTGAACCTAGCACTGGGTGACTGGGAAGCTGGATCTCCTCTACCGGCTACCTAGAGACCCTCAACGAAGGACCTCAGTTATGCTAACCAGAAACCCAGTCAGATCTGAATATTGATACAAGAAGTTTCCTCACAATTACACGTCTCAAGCAACTAATATATCTTATCTGAAAACGGCCCTGTAATCAGTTACTATTTCCTTATTCCATTGATTGAACACAGACACTTGGGGAGGAGTGGGACATCTCTTTTTCTGATTTCAGGGAACTGTACCTATTTGTTCTCCCCCCTCCCAACTCAGAAAGCCCCCAATCTTTCATCCAGTTTAGAAATCAGATTACCTAATCTTGTATTCTGGTTTATATCCTGTTAATTGGGTTTTTTTTTCAATGCATAAAAATCTGTCTTCCCCTGTATTTGGGGTCCAGTGCCAAGCTGAGGAGGCCTGGTCTCAATTTGTTATACAATTGGAATGCATTGCTTAATAAATCATTATCTTCAGAAGTTCAAACCTTTGTTTCCTCATTTGTTTCAGATTTCACCTGTCATAGACTCAAAGGAGGAGAGTTAATGAATAAAGGTGGTGAAAAAACTTGGAAGTGACAATGGGAAATAAAAAGTATTCCAACTCCTCTACTTCAGCTAGTGAGCTGAGGGAAATGAGTGAAAGTACAGCCAGTGCTGGAAAGGGTCGCCAGGGAGCATCTGTCATCAGCGGTGAGCCAGCTCTCAGTTACAGCCAGAAGATAGAAGGAGTAGGAAAGGAAAAGATTTAAAATGAAAGCAGACTTGTTGATTGTGGAACAGGCCTATTCCAGAGGGCACAGTGGAAGGGGTGGATAACATTTGGTTGGGACTTTAGAGTGGCTGGGTTGAGGGGGATAGGAATAAGGAATTGGTTATTGGGGAATGAGGAATGAGATTTGGATAAGAACCTGTGAGAATTCAGAATCTCTGGGATGTGAAGAATAAGATCAGATGTGTTAATCATTCATTGAAAAGTATTTCTTGGGGCAGCTAGGTGGCACAGTGGATAGAGCTCTGGCCTTGGGGTCGGGAGGACCTGAGTTCAAATCCTACCTGAGTTCAAATCTGACCTCAGACATTTGATCACTTGATACTTACTAGCTGTGTGACTCTGAACAAGTCACTTAACCCCAACTGCCTAACAAAAAAAAAAAAGAAGAAAGGTATCTCTCCTCTTCCCAGAGTAGGTTGGAAATCAGGTGGGAGACATGCACAGCCTAAGATGGAAGGCACACACTCAGACAGAGGGCCCTGATTTCTTCTCTCCCTTTCCCTCTAGAGACTTCTCCTTACACCCCTACTGATGGTTGGAGATCAGGCAGGAAAAGGGCACTTCATGATGAAAAGCCCCCTCTCCTCTTCCTACAGGAGGAATACACAGTACAAGGTGGAAGGCATGTGTTCAAATGGAAGACTTTGCCTTCACCTTTCCTTTTTCCTTTGGAGGCTGGCAATCAGCCAGGAGATAGTGCAGGAACAGATAGAGGGAGTAAGAAGACGGGAAAAGTAGGAGGGTACCAGATTGTGAAAGGTTTGGATTGTCAAATAGAGGATTTTACATTTGCTTGTAGAGTTGATAAGGAGTTACTGAACTTTATTGAATAGTGGAGCGGCATAGCAAGACATATTTAGTAATATTAATTTGACAACTAAGTGGAAGATGGACCAGAATGAGGAGAGACTTGAGGCAGGAAGACCAACCACAAGGCTGATGCAATAGTCCAGACATGAGTGAGGATATAAGGGCCTACACCAGCATGGTGGAAATGTCAGAGGAGAGAAAGGAACATACAGACATTTCTTGATTTACATAGATTCCAATTGTGCAAATTCCACTTTGTTGTTCTTATTTAGTTGTTTCAGTCATATCTGACTCTTTGTGATCCCATTTGGGGTTTTCTTGGTAAAGATATGGGAGTGGTATGTCATTTCCTTTTTCCAGCTCATTTTATAGATGAGGAAACTGAGATAAACAGGGTTATGTAACTTGTCCAAGGTCACATAGCTAGTAAATATCTGAGACCAGATTTGAATTAAGGAAGATGAGTCTTCCTGACTCCAGGACTAGCCCTCTATCCATTTTGCCACCTAGCTGCCCAACTTTGACTTTATGGAAAGGATTCTGAAAGAAATCCACATTCCTAAACAACACCTATGTTAACTTTACTGTTCAATACTGTTCAATCTCTCTCTCTCCCTCTCTCTCTCCCTCTCTCTCTCTCTCTTCTCTCTCTCTCTCTCTCTCTCTCTCTCTCTCTCTCTCTCTCTCTCTCTCTTTCTCCTCCTTCTCCTTCTCCTTCTTCTCCTCCTCCTTCCCTTCAGCTTAGCACAATGAGGCCTCCCACACCTTCACACACACACACACACACACACACACAAAACCCTCCAAGTGAAAGCAGAAGAACCCATGTGCTGCTACTGCCACCTCCACCAGACTGGGGGCTTGGCTTGAGACCTCTGTTGTTGTTTATCCCTTATTCTCAAAAAGGACCAATGATATCACCAAGGTGCTGTCTTGACTTTCAAGTGAATTAGATTTACCAATGACATCACCAAGTGATGTCTTGGCTTTTGAGTAAATTGGATTTAAGTGAGGCAGAGCTGTGCAAAGTCATCAGACTCATTCTCTCCTCCAGAGTCATAAAAGTCTGGTGGCAAGACAAAAATCAAGACAGTTGGCAATGGCCCAGAATGCAGTGGATAACTTTGGCCTTTCTAAATTAAAGTCTTTCAAAGACCTCAGTTTGTCTGAGGCAAGGCCCAGCACCAGAGAAGAGACGTTTGGCCCATTCCACCCACCTACCCCGAGTGTTTGGCCCTCTTGTGTCTGTTCTCTGTCTGCTTTTGGGTACCATATGTCTGTCCCCATCCCATGTATTCCTCCTCCTGCTCTTGTTTCCCGGTCCCCCGCTCCCACTTGAGTGCTGGCCCCCTCCCAGGAGGGCCACTTCCTGCCTTCCTTCCTTCCAACAGTCCGTTTATGTAAAACAAGAACTGTCTACATACAGGAGATATTATTAAGGTAAAAATCAACAGAAATTGGCCACAGATTGCATATGGGGTGGAGGTAGGGTTAGAGAGAGTGAGTAGTCAAGGATGATACATAAGTTTCAAGCCTGGGTGGTGAGAGAAATTATTATTATACTATTATATTAATAACTAGATATTAATTTGTGATCTACCTTTTTCTCTCTATTTCTATTGAGACCCAACTACTGAAAAGGTCAGTCAGTGTCTGAAGGGCATGGTTGAGTGATGGAATTACTCCTAGCACCAAGGCACATGCTGTTAAATAGATTGGGTGGGATCCTACCCAACTGGGAAACCTAATTTCTATTCAGAGTATAAACAGAATCCAGTCTGAGTGAGCCTTTGCCTGAGGGAGGAACCCTGTCCTTGATACCCTCCATCAGAATTTAAAGCAACCCCGCTCATGAAAGAGAAATTAATCAGGGAGGTCAAAATGAAAATGACTTCCCCTGCCCCCAATGCCTTGAGACAGCTAAGTCTCATGATCAAGGCACATTCTCAGCAGAAGGAATTGAAGACTTTTTGCCCACCTCCTCATTAAATGTCCACCAATAAGGGTTGAGTTTCACTCATCAGGGGAATTCTCTTTCAGAAGGGACTTTAGGCACTTCAGCATCTCCCTTGGCCTCTTTGATCACCAAGAGAAACCACTGACCATTAACTTAGTGATTACAGGCTGGTCTAATTAATAAATTTATTATTTGTCACAGTGGCTGGGTAAGACGGCGGTGCCCTTGACAGTAAAAAGGAAGTTTGGAAGGGGAGAGTGTTTGGAGGTAAAGATAATGAGTTTTAGTCATGATGAGTTGAAGATGTCTATGAGACATCTGGATGCCTAATAGACAGTTGGAGATGCTAGTCTGGAAATTAGGAGAGGGATTAAGGCTGGAGAAGTAGATCTGAGAATCATCAGCATAGAGATAGTTATTGAAAACATGAGAGCTCTTGAGATCACCAAGTGAAATAGTATAGAGGGAAAAGAGGTCCCAGGACAAAGCCCTGAGGGACTTGCCTGTTTAATGAGTATGACCTGGACAAACAGCCAGCGAAGGAGAGTGAGTAGGAATGGTTGGGATCAAGAGGAGAAGTAGGTTAGAGTAGTATCAGAAACCCAGAGAGAAGAGAGTATTAATTTGAAGAGGGTGGTTGGTAGTGTCAACTGAGTCTGAACAAAGACTACAGAGGAGTCAAGAAAGATGAGGATTGAAAAAAGGCAATCAGATATGGCAATTTCTCAAGAGATCATTGGTAACTTCAGAGAGAACAATTTGGATAGAATTATGAGATCAGAAACCAAATTATAGAGAGCTAAAAATAGAGTAAGAAGAAAGAAAACGGAGGCATCAATTACAGATAAAATTTAGCCAGGGTTACAGTCAGTATGTGCCAAACGCAAGACTTGAATCAAGTTCTTCCTAGTTTGGAGAGTAGCTCTCCATCCACTATGGGGAACAGGATGTGTCATTTTTTTTGTGATAGGGATGTACAATGAAGACAGTTTGGAGATCACTGCCCTAGGCTCCTCTCCCTTTAGGTCTCTTGTGAATGTGGGACTTGCAAGGTCTTATTGGTTCTCCCTAGACAATATCTCATATTCAACCCTTTCTCTCTTAACCTCACAAGATATTTTGGGGGTTATGAGCTGGTTTTTTTTTCATAAGGACCTCGCCTTAAACCCAAATCACTCTGGCTCTTATTGATTGGCCAGTAACACCTCAGAGCGAATGTAAATAGCAATGGTTTCTGTTTTGGCCAGAAGCCCTGAGAGTCTTCCCCTCCCAGATTAAATTTTTTTTTTACTAGGTAAAAGAGGCTATTCTCTGCCTCATTTCTTACCTAGCCTTAATCACTTACCTCAGTCAAATTAAGACCTGGGAAAGACCTTAGCTAAAAAGGCCAACACCTCCCATTGCATTCCAGGCCATCTCCAGTCATCCTGATCTATATCTTGTCACTGGACCCAGATGGCTCCAGAGGAGAAAGTGAGGCTGGTGTCTTTGCCCTCCCTCACTTTAATACAATTCACTTGCAAGTTATGGCATCACCTTCCTGATGCATGGTCCTTTTCAAGAATGAAGGATAAACAACAACAATTTAATTAATTTACAGGTCAAGTATAGGTGATGCAGTCTTGAGGAAAAGCCTGAACTACTGGAGGGGGGTGGGGAAATGAAGAGGGGAAGGGATGGTAGTGAGGTAACCAACTCTTCATGAGATCTTATGAAGGTGAAAACTAGATCCCAAGTTCAACTTTTCTATCTAAGTGCTGCTATGCTCACTTATAGTATGCTGTGCTATGCTCAGAATCTCATAACAAGATGTATGACCCGCCAACTTTAGTAGTCAAGCTCTTAATTATTTTCTGGGACAGTGACCTGTGGTATCTGTCCAGAAACTGCTGTATGTCCAAGTGCAATCAGCAGCAACTGAATCTCTTCTGGGCTATTCTCCTGTAAGATTCTGGCGTAGTGATCTACTCTTACCAGGCTCCATAAAGCTAAATTTGATAAGTGATGACTCATTTGTTCTCCTCCCTCTTTCTTTCCCCAGCAATCCTCCCTGGCACTTTGGTGCTGTGACATATAACTGTTTTGGAGCTGCTGTCATCCCTGGGAAGGCTCTGGCTGTGAGCCCTATGACTCTGGGATTGACCACTGTCAGAGCATGTGAGGTGGAATCCCTGACCCAGTGCTTTCCAGAAGGCTTAGCCAGCAGATTTGGAACAGTCCACAGTGGGTTTCCTCCCACTTCCCTTCCCCCATACTGGCCCAAGGCAGGCATCCAGACAGGCATGATAGAAATACCAGTTTTCACTTCCCAATTTTTTGAAGAGGAGGCCACACAGCTCTGGGGGAGACAGGCAGACCAGAGTATATAGCGTTTGAGCCCAGAATGGGCAGTGAGGCAAGTCGAAGAAAGACATTCCAAGACTGGCCTCCTGAGGGCCCTGTCTCTCCCCAGGACCTGGCCAGAGCTGGATTCTTCTATGTAGGGCCTCAGGACAGGGTTCAATGTTTCTGCTGTGGTGGGATGCTGGACAACTGGACAGCTGGAGATAGCCCCATCCTAGAACACCAGAGGCTTTTCCCCAAGTGCCAGTTTGCCCTCAGCAAGCATACTGGCAATAATCCTGACCAGGACACTTCTGACAGTGTGGATGGGCAAATCTTGAGCCAGTTGCAAAGAATATCAGAGGAAGAAGAAGGGGAAGGGAATGAAGCTACCCTGACTAACAGACCCGCCTATCCAGAGATGGGTGTAGAACAGATCCGGCTGGCCTCATTTCACAACTGGCCCTCAGCTTCGATGGTGTGTCCTCAGCAACTCGCCAGAGCGGGCTTCTTCTACACAGGTAAGTTGGACGCTTTACTTCACATAAGCTGATTGTGGGGTCTTAGGCATAGGTATTAGACTGAAGAAGACAACCTGAGTTTTACTTCTAGGTCAACCCTTTTTTATGTACTCAACTTGAGTCTAGACTTATATTTGCTCTAAATCGTTTGCCCCTGCAAGTCTGCAGGATAGGCAAACTATGGATTGGAGACCAGCTGTGGTGACAGACTGGACATGTCATACAAACTGATCCCTGACAGCCCTGACAAATCTCTGACAAGTAGGGCTGGCTTTACTTGGCCATTTGTCAGACTGTAGGGAGCCACATGTCTATAAATGGGCTATAAGGAGAAGTTGGTACCTCTTTTTTCTGTGAACATTTCCTTTCTCCTTAGCTCCATCACCCCTTTCAAACATCTGGTATCTTCATAGATTTGGATACATTTCCATTTTAAAACCTGCTCTAGGATAAGATCAGTTAATGGAAACCTTCATTGTGGGGAGCTCAGCCTGGCTAGAGTTGAACTTGTGGAGGTTGAAAGACATCTTGGAGCCGTCCTAGGATTTAGGCCTATAAACAACCTTCAAGTCACCTAGTCCAACTCTCTATACCGATGAAACAGAGGCCCAGAGAAGGGAAGTGTCCAAAGTCAGACTAGTAGTGGCAGAGATAGGATTCCAACCCAGGTCTTCTAAGTCCAACCTTCTTTTTGCTATTCCATGCTGCCTGACAGCTTGGGGAGTATATTTATGGAGGTGGGGTGTTGGATCTTTGTCTCAGACTACCACAAATTATATCTACTGGTTAGATAGTTCCGGTTAAAGTCTCTGGAGAGACCAGAAGTGGACCCCGTGTTTTGCTGTGGAAAGGAAGGCTTTCTCCTTTCGCAATGTTCACTGTGCCTTTTGCCCCTTACCAAAAAACAATAAACCCAGCAGAGACCAGCCATTTCCCCCTCTCTGATGGTACAAAGCACAGGCCTGTGGTTTCTCTCTCCCCTTTTCTCTGGAAACCTTGTGAGATCTGATCTGTTATTGCTGTCCTGCTTTTACTTATGAGAAATGACGTAGAGACATGGGAAGTACAACGTGTATCTTTGGAGTTATTTCAACACCATGCTATAACACACACTGTCAGAGGTTGCTACCATTTTCCCCAGTCTGCCTTGTTTTAGGATCAGACTGAGAACACAAAGGGACCTTTAATGCCATTAAGTACAACTTCCTTATTTTACAGCTGAGGAAACTGAGTCAATCAGCTAGTTAATTAGCATTTATTAAGCACCTATTGAGTGCCAGGCATTGTGCTAAGCACTGGGAATACAAAGAAAGGCAAAACAGTCCCCGTTCAAAGGAGCTCACAGTCTAATAGGGTAAGCAACAGGCAAACAACCATCTACAAACAAGTTTTATACAGGATACATTGGAGATAATCAACAGAAGGAAAGCATTAGCATTAAGGGGATCAGGAAAGGCTTCTTATGGAAGAAGGATTTTAGCTGGGACTTAAAGGAAGGCAGAAAATCCAGGAGGCAGAGATGAAGAAGGAAAAATACTCCAAGCATAGAGGACATCCAGTGAAAATGCCTTAAGTCGGAGAAATGGAGTGTCTTGTTTAAGGAACAGTAAGGATACCTGGGTCACTGGATCACAGCGTGCATGAGGTGGAGGAGGCATAAGATGTGAGAAGACTGGAAAGGAAGAAGGGGGTCAGCTTGTGAAGGGATTTGAATCCTGGAGGTGACAGGGAGCCACTGAAGTTTGTTGAATTGGGGGGGGCGGGAGAAAGGGAGGGACATAATCAGATCTGTGGTTTAGAAAGATTAATTTGAGGCGGGGAGACCAACCAGCAAGCTATGGCAGTAATCCAGGCTTGACTGAGGTGATAAGGGACTGCACCAGGGTGGGTGGCAGGGTCAGAGGAGAGAAGGGGGTTTATGCGAGAAATTTTCTGAAGGTAAAATCAACAGAGGGAGGTTAAATGACTTGCCCAGAGTTGTATAGATTGTTCTTGAGGAGGGATTTGAACCCAGATCTCCTCAAATATAAGTGCAGTATACCATCTAGTATACATGCTTTTTTTTTTATTGCTTAAATCATAACAGCCCACTCAGAAATGGAGCAGCTAGAGAGGCAGACACAGGAGATCGAGCATTTTTGGGAGACGCATTGGAATCTCCTATTCTGACCCCAAACTGGCCTATGACTGTTCCTTCCATCTGGAATCTGGTCCAGACACAGAAGCAGCCCAAGAGGGTGGCAATGTCTTCTTGTAGAGATGGGAAGTCTAGGAGAAAGGTAGTGGGCGATACCAGGGCACTGTGATGGGGGGACAGGGAAATGGGAAGGAGTCATAAAGCTGCATTTTCCACCCCAACTCCCTTACCTTCAAAGTTAGAACATTTCTTTAGCTGCCCCTCTCCCTTCTTGTCCTATATTTCATCAGCCTCGGGATCCTGAATGTTTTCCTGCTGAAAATAATTTCAGAACTGACCTTTGGAACTTGAGCCTGCAGCTCAATTGGAGGTCACCTCTGAGTCCTCTGTCAATGCAGCCAATGTGGGTCATTTATCATCTCAATGAGACTCCCCCAAATCCTCCTCCACCCCTCACTCCCAACACAATTGGCATAGCTGTATTTCCTCGCTTGGTGTAGACCAGATGGCCACTTCTTAGCAGAAAGGGCCAAGCTATACTGCCATAACTTCTCAATGACTTCGGTTGATCCCAGATCAGGACCCAAATTAGACCTGCAATTTATCTATTCTTATATCTCACACAGTAGATTACTGGGGCCTTTACTAAAGGTGTCTGGCTCCTCAGAGGGCCAGTGTCAGAAATGACAGAGAAGGATACCCTCCCTGTGAGCTAGTCAGGGCTGTCTCTTGGAAGACCATCCCCTGGCCATAGGGTCCATTGTCCTGGGGCCTAGGAGACTGCGGTTTACTCTCTGGGTAAGTGCCAGACTTACTTATTCCTCTGGGTAAGGAACAGTTCTATTATTCTTTTTCTAGGCTCCTCAGGGCATCCAGAAAGTGTGTCCAATCCTGAATGGAGTTATATGCCATATTTTAGGTAAGATTTAGTCTAGAGGGTAGAGGAGCCACTGGAAAAATAATTTTAGAATACGTAATAACAGTGGCTAACATTTATATAGCATTTTAAGGTCTGTGGAGAATTTTATATATACATTACCTCTTGATCCTCACAACAGCCCTGTGAGGTGGGTGCAGGTATTTCTTTATTTCATAGATGAGACTCTAGGAGGTAAGGTGACCTACCCATGGTCACACAAATAGTATATATCAGAAGCAAGACTTGAATCCAGGCCTTTCTGATTCCAAGGCTGGTTTGCTACTCACTATACCATTTTGCCTTATGACAAATTAAAATAAGTCACTGGGATATTGATGAGCTTCTAGTCCAAGCTTTCATCAAGGCAATCAACTGGGGACAGCTAGGTGGTGCAGTGGATAGAGCACCAGCCCTGGAGTCAGGAGCACCTGAGTTCAAATCTGGCCTCAGATACTTACTTGCTGTGTGACCCTGGGCAAGTCACTTAATCCCATTGCCTAGCCCCACCCCCCAAAAAGAAAAAGACAATCCACTGGTATACTTAGTCCAAGCCATCCTGCTTCTTCTCCAGAGCAATAGTCCCAGCTGTCTGTCAGTATCCATGAGATGGAGCTGTCCCTGGAAACCTTTCTGTGCTGTCTTTCAGGCCAGCATGACCATGTGAAGTGTTACTACTGTGATGGGGGCCTGAGGAACTGGGATCGAGGGGATGACCCTTGGAGAGAACATGCCAAGTGGTTCCCTAGGTAACTTGGGGTGCTGTGGGACTGTTATGTGTCTGAATATCCCCAGTTTTCTGATCTAGGTATTTGGCATACCAGTCACACATAGACATGGTGCCCACCTTCAAGGAGCTCACAGCTGAATATGAGAGACAAGGCAGACCCACATGTTCTATTTGGCACATCTCATTCTGATAGTATTTTGTGCTATGCTCCCTAGGCCAGGTCTTGTACTTCTGCAGGAGAAAGAGAACCAGGCCTGACTTGGAGAAGTTTATCTTGGCTTTAGAAGTCTCTCCTGCCCCTCCTCCTCCTCACTCATTCCCGACATACCTAGTAGTATCTTTTATTTTTATTTTTGCTCCTTTTCAGATGTGAATTTCTGCTTCAATCCAGAGGCAGGGACTATATCAGCAGCATCCAGGAGTCCTCTGGCCTGCTGGACTCCTGGGTAAGTTCATCTGATCCTCCTGATAGGGTTTTTTGGGGATAATGCTTCAAAAAATCCTGCTACATTATTTATTTTTAAAAAGATGTTGTGATTTTTAGGGCCATGGAGAAGATCCAGGAGAGGTAAATTCCACTTCTTCTACCCCAGGTTAGTTGGGAAACATTTTTCTTCTTATCATAGACTATTAGGGTCCTTGGAGATAATCTGATCTAACCCCCTCATTTTACATATGAGGAAACCAAGGTTTAGGAGTCAAAGTGACTTGGCCAGAGTCACACAGCAGAGTTAGTATTCAAGCATGGGTCTCCTGATTTCCAGCCCAGTGCCCTTTCTCCTCTGCTATGCTAAATGTCATCTGCTTTCTGCCTATTCTATTCAAATACATGGGGGACGGAAATGTAAAATGTAAAATGCTTTTTAGTGAGGCAGTCAGGGTTAAATGCTTGCCCAGGGTCATACAACTAGTAAATGTCATGTATCTGATGTGTCTGATTTGAACTCAGGTCCTCCTGACTCCAAGGCTGGAGCTCTATCCACTTCGCCACCTAGCTGCCCCAGAATAAACTTTTTAAAAAATGTTAATATACAACTCATTGGAACAATTTCCTACCTTGATGATCTGTGTGCTTCATTTGTATTCAAGAGCCAGTCATCTGAATGGTAGAGTGCTGCTCTTCACCAGCAATAACCCAAACCCAATTGAAAGGTAGCTTTGTCATTTAACTGTCTTCTCTTCTGCACCCCATTTAGAGTTTGGCTCCTAGAAACTACAAGCTAAGGGCCTCGAGCCCAGTAGATGCTCAGTAAATGTCCAGTGATATTGTTGAAATTCAGCCTAGGCTGGGACACAGCCCAACAGGAATTCCAGCACCTAGACTTCAAAAGCAAGCCTTGGTAGGGATTTCCATGTTCCGACTTCTGCCAGATAGGAAGCATGTGAAGTTTGCTTTCCGCTGGCTCGGATATTGTCCAGTTCTATTGTATTCTGAAGATGGGAGATGGAGGGGAAGCTAAGGAAATCTGCCAATAGGCTCGGGGTAGATTTGGTTCCCCTTCAATGTCCCCATTCCTTCAGAACAAGTCCCAGCTCAAACCAGGTGCCTTGATAGATCAAAGTTATTTATTTCCTGATGGGCAATGGAGAAAGTGAAAGCTTTGGTCTGAAGTTCTCTCACTGTCTTATCCCTGCTCTCATGGGATCCTGCCAGCTTTGTAGGGTTATTCTCCTCCTTTACAAATTTGAAAATGGAGGGTTCAGAGAGCCTAACTGATTGACTCTAGTTTATATGGTGAGCTAGCAGCAGAGATAGAACTAAAGCTCTGGAATCCACATTTTTGGCCTGGAATTCCCTCTACTACAATAGCCTACTTACTGCTTTTGTCCAGTGGCTTGTGAAGGGCATGGCTATGGAAGCAAGCTTTGTGAATCCTAATCCTTTCTCTTTAAATTCTGAGAAATCAGACCTTATCAGCCTCATAGTAGAAGTCTGCTTTTGCCGGTCTCATGAACAACCCTTTAGGAAAATTGGGACTTTGTTCTGGAATCTTTCCAGAGAGTCCAGCATCACAGATCACTCAGCAAACATCTGTTAAACACTGGCCAGGAACAGAGTACAAGCTGCTGAGGGAGATACATACATCTTATACATGAACCTGTCCCTACTTTTATGGAATTTATAGTCTAGTAGAAAAGGACACAGACAAGATGGTTGGGAGAGTGCTTTCCATCAACATCATCTTGCCTCTAACACAATGGTTCAGACCCTCTTTAACTCATCTAAAGTAAGACCATCCACATGGTGCCTATTTAAGGAGTTGAAACAAAGACCGTGCATCCAGGGAAAGAACATTGGAGTTAGAGCCAGAAGGCCCATATTGAAATCACTAGTCTTCCTCCCACCTTTGTGCTTGTGTTCTTCACTTTTACTCTGGATACCTGTTTCCTCCTCTAGGAAATAAAGGGGTTGGACTACATGCCCCCTAGAGTCCCTTCCACTTCAGACACTGTTTCTGTGGTGTTTGTGGGAAGAGGGTTTAGGACTAATGCTGCTGCTATAAATTAACCACGTTCTCTCAGGCTTTTGCTGTGTGCTATGACTGTTTCAAGTTATGTGGCTATTGACATAAGGTTTTAATTCAGGGGTTCTCAATCTTTTTGTGTCATAGACCCCTTTGGCCGGTTGGTGAAGCTTATGGACCCATTTTGGAATGTTTTTAAATGAATAATATGTAATATTCCAATATAAACCAATTATATTAAAATAGTGATCTATCTGTATACATATATATTTTTAAAAACACAAGTTTCTGGACTGTCTGAAATCTATATATGAACTCTCTAGGGGCTGAAGTTAAGAACTCTAGATTTAACCCAATAGTATTAAGATGAGGTTCTCTATTATGTAAGGGATCTCTAATTTTCCTCCCTACATAGTAGACTTGACATCCATATAGACAAGGCCTTCCCATTTGAAATGAGTGCTTATTTTCTTGCCTTTTTAAAAACCAAGCCTACCCTTAAACAGAGGCACACACCTCTAAGTAAATAGATTAATTAGAGTGATATTCAGGATGTGGCTGAGATACAAGCAGTGTTGTAAAGAGGTAAGGGACTAGATTAGATGCCCCTCCACCTCGACTCTGCCCTATGACACCTTGGGCAGCAATGACGGCAGCACATCTCCTCTTGGGGTTCAGTGACTCTTCATTCCACTTTGCAGGTAGCCCAGGAAGCCGGGCTTGGCTAGCTTGGCCAGCTTGGCGGCAATCCACAGTGGTAAAAAGTGTGCTGCAGATGGGGTTTGAGCAGAGCATGGTGGAGAGGTTGGTTCTGAGTAAATACAGGCTGGCAACACCAGCCAGCACATCAGTGTCTCAGCTGGTCTCTGATCTTATCCAAGAGGAAGAGAGGAATGCAACAGAGACCAGAGGTACAAAGACTTCTTCATTGCCTGCTTTAAGTGGGGAGGGCTTGTTCAAGTCTCCAGACCTCCCTCATTTCAGAGGCCTTCCGTGAGTCCTCCCACCTTCCTGGGTAGGAGGCCTCTTTGGCCTCTCCTTCCTCTGAACTCAGAATCCCTGATATCTCTGTTATTCCCTTAGGCACTTTATCACCTCCTATCTTTATACTATTCCTCTATAGTTACTTCAGTGTCTTGTCTTCCTGACTATATCATAAGCTCCTTAAAGTCTGAGATTGTCTACTGGAAAAGTAAGTCAAGATAATTGCTTAAGTTCCACCTAATGAAGCCCTTGACTTAACAGTGTGGATTTTGTCCAAAAATGGTTGAAGGACTTCTCATGGGGTCAGCATGGATGTTAGAACTCATCTAACTCATCTTGACTCATTTTGGGATCACTCCTGCCTCTCAGTTCTGTGTGTATGAGGACCTTGAGTAGACTACAGACTACCGTGGTCAATATATGGAATATGTGCTTTCTGGCTTCACTGACTAGAGAAAATTTTTCTTCTCCCCTTCCCCCAGTCCCTACCCTTGTTTTATTTTGGAATTAGATGAATGAGATTCATTTTATGGAGGAAAATTTTCCCATTAGAGCTGGATTCTCTCCTGAAAAACTTTATGCCAGTTATCTATGGCAGCCACAGGGGGAAGTTCTTGTGATATATTTGATTGATTAGAGAACATGTCAAAATTTATAGTCTGTCTTCCCACAGCACCTGTTCTGATGGCATCTGAGCCAAGTACACCCAGAAGAGAAGGCCAACCTGAAGAAATCACAGAGACAGGTGAGGAGCTAGGCAGGATCCAGACAATATGCTTACTTTAGAGGTTATCGTTTACCTTCTGTCACTGTCTTGGATATAAGACTTGGTACCTGGACAGCTATGTGGCACAGTGGAAAGAGTGCCAGGCCAGGAGCCAGGAAGGCTCATCTTCCTAAGTTCAAATCTGGCCTCAGTCACTTACTGGATGTGTGACCCTGGGCAAGTCACTTAACCCTGTTTGTCTCACTTCCTCAACTGTAAAATGAGCTGGAGAAGGAAATGGCAAACCATTCTAGTATCTTTGCCAAGAAAACCCCAAATGGGGTCACAAAGAGTTGGATGCTGACTGAAATGACTAAAAAACAACAACACCTGGGCTAGCCAGTTCAAAGATTAGAGCACAAGACTAATGAAGCAAATTCTATTGTCACCAGTTGCTCTTAAAGAAACCTTGTTTCTGTGTCCAAAAACTGAGGTCTCTGGCCACATACGACACATGGGCATTTAGTCACTAGCAGAACTGGGCAAGAGAGTGTGGATGTTTCAATGCACCTCATCCCCACTGCCACAAAAAGAACTTTGAACACATTTTCTATTGACAATGAGTCAAGAGTCCTCGGGCTACAACCTTGAGATAACTAATAGGAATGCAGTGTGCAGAATGAGGGATGAGAGTTCTCCTCTACCCTGATCGAGACCATCTGGAATACTGTGTTCAGGGAGCCACATATTTAGGAAGGATGTTGACAAACAAGATCATATCAAGTTGGAGGTGACCAGGAGGGGACTTAAAACCATGCTGTGGGAGAAGTGAAGGCCAAAAGAACTGTTTTCCTTGTAGAACAGAAGACTGTGTTGGGAAGTTGGAGGAAAAATAAGTATCTTTGAACATTCGATGGGCTGACATGAAGATGAGTTGGTCACATGGTGAGAGTGAGGGATGATAGGTAGAAAGCCCAAATGCTCCATTTGTGTCCTTATGAAGTCAGGAGAAAGAGAGGAAGGCTCCCCACATTTGGTTAGTCCCTTTGTGTTAGACTTATGGAAGGACGTAGACAAAAGTCACCCAGGGTAAGGCATGCATGAATGGGTTCCAATCAAACCAGATGTCATAGATCCATTTGAATCTTGTGGAAAAGAGATTGGACCTTTTCCTTCATGCCAGAGGGTAGACTTCTGAGACAGATTGAGATTAGATGCAAGAAACTTAACAGTGTCTAAAATTGGAATGGTTCTCCTGAGGAGATAGTGAGTTTCTCAGCATCGAAAATCTTCAAAAGATGTCTAAACGTTTAGTTGATAGGGATTCTGTAAAGGGAATTCCTTTTCAAATATAGTTAGTTCCAGAGACCTCTGTTGTTGTGGTGTGGTTGTTTCAGTCATGTCCAACTCTTTGTTACCCCCTTTGGGGTTTTCTTGGCAAAGATACTGGAGTGGTTTGCCGTTTCCTTCTCCAGCTCATTTTATAATGAGGAAACTGAAGCAAACAGGGTTAAGTGACTTGCCCAGAGTCACACAGCTAGTAAGTGTCAAGTGTTTGGTCTGAGGCCGGATTTGAACTCAGGTCCTCCTGACTTCAGGGCCGGTGCTCTATCCACTGCGCTACCTAGCTGCCCTGATCTGGCTTCCTTTACCTCTCCTCCCTGACCTTGTCTACAGGACCCCTGAGCACTGAGCAGCAGTTGCAGCAGCTGAAGGAGGAACGGACCTGCAAAGTGTGCATGTATCAAGTGGTGTCCATTGTCTTCGTTCCCTGTGGCCACCTGGTCTGTTCAGAGTGTGCGCCAAACCTGCAGCAGTGCCCCATCTGCAGAGCTGTCATTCATGGGAGCATCCGGACTTTCCTGTCCTAGCCGAGCTCTGGTGGACTGAACCATGCTAGGGTGAGTTAAGGGGCTCTCCCCATGCTTACTCTGCCACAAAATGGCTGTAACTTTGGTCAGATTAGTTAACCTAGCATGCCAGCAGGTCAGAGATGGCAGGGGGCTTAATAAGCATCTGGTCCAACTTCCTCATCTAATAGACAAGGAAAAAGGTCCAGAGAGAAGGGTCAAATGGCAAAAAGTGGCCTGAAGTTCTAGGTTAGGCCAAGGTCAAATGGCTAGTTAAAACTTCCATGTCTCTTCCCTATTTGTGAAATGGAGCTTATCTGAAAGCAGTGTTGTGAGGCAGAGAGAAATATTGCCCTGGAAAGGACAAAGAGGGCTTTGCAAAGAAAAAAGTGTCATATGAATTCCAGGTGCTATTACATTTAACTCCTGGGTTTGTCTACTTGAATGCGAGGCCTCAACAGTGTGGCACAGTGGGTAGAGAGCAAGCCTTAAAGTCAAGAAGTCCAGAATTCAAGCTCCACTGCTGACATGAACTAGCTGTGTGACCCTGAGCAAGTCACTTAATCTCTCAATGCTCTAGGCAACTCTCCAAAGGCTATCAATTACAGACAAGGTGCCACCATACACAGGAGAGTTCCTCAGCTGGGAATTCCCTATACCAATGAAGTCACAGGCTTAGATAAACCCTATCCCTAGCTTATCTCACGTGGGTAGGTGAGGATTTGGTAAGGGTGATGGAAAGGTACGTTGGTCTATGGAGATCTCCAAGCCCTGTTACTATTTCCTTCTCCATTGGTAATCCACTGCAGTCCAATCTCTGAGTAACAGTGAAAATCAACTGTTCCTAGGGCTGGTCCTGACTGACTTGGTCCTTCCAGGAAATGCTGAGTTTGGGAAACCAGTACTGATTTTGGAGCCCTGAAGACATTGGGATAATGGTGGGACTGGTGACCCTGCCTTCTGAGCACACCATGATCAAGTCTCTTACCCAGATGAAGGAGCAAGTAAAGCCCCAGTTTCTGACCTCATCATAGGAGCCAAAGCTGCAACTTCAAGCAAGATTAGGTTAGTTGGGAAGTAGTTAGAGGGCATCAAAGGATAGGGGAAATAGCCTATATCTAAAACTATATATCTAAAACAGTTTCATAGGACATTTTTTTGTTGGTTAGGGTATATATGTGTGAATTTCTGCTTTGGTTTTTGCTATGACTATGTTTGGAGTTCTTTAATTTTTTTTTGCAATAAAATTTCTTCTGGTGTAATCAATGCCTTGAGGTCAGCCCTTGAAAGTAGGAGGTATTTGCTGAGGGTCTAATATTTTGTTCACTAATAGCAGCCGACATTTACATAGTACTTACTTTGTACTAGGTACTGTGCTAAGAGAGTTACATATATTATCTCATTTGATCTTTACAATATCCTTGAGAGGCAGATGCTATTATTACCCCCATTTTACAGATGAGGAAACTGAGGCAGAGTTTAAGTGACTTGCTCCAGGTCACATAGCTAGTAAGTCTCTGAGGCCAGATTTTGATTCAGATCTTCCGGATTCCAGGCCCAGCACTCTATCCACTGTGCCACCTAGCTGCCCCTAATCTATTCTCTACCATCTCCTGCTAATGGCATGATCTCCTCCACTAGGGTTGACTAGAATGAAATTCCATCAGTGGGGAGCCTTGAAACCCCTGAACTTGGCTGCCAATCAATGTGCCTCTAGGCAGCAGGAGGGATGGATGTCTGATCAATAGCTGGTGTCAGAAAGGAGTTCCAAGGGCCCTCTGGAGGGCCACTATTTTAGGAATTCAGATGGACCTTCTTTATACAATAGTTAGTAGAAAGAGCTGGAAAGGATTTTACAGACCACTTAATTCAATTGTCTTATTTTACTGAGGAAGGGTAGTGACAGAAGAGGTGGTAACTTTCCCAAGGTCACATAGAGCCAATGGCAAAGCCAATACTCAAACTCAGACATCCTAATCACCAGCTACAAAGCAAGAAAGAAATTTCTTCTTAAAGAATCTCGATTTCAATATTCTTTTTAAAACGTGAATACACATTTCAAGAATCTGATTTTTTCTTTTTGGTATGTTAAATCTTCTCCAAGCACAGGCATTGTTTTCTGGGAGGGGTCATACTTTAGGCTATTAGCTAGCCACTCAACCCTAATTCAGATTAGTATATAGGCTGCAGCAGCTGTACTGGGGTGCAATTTCAGGACCTTCTGAATCCCTGAAATCTTTCTTCTGTTTCCTAGTACCTAAAATCCCTTTGGTCAGAGAAAGCTTAACTATGTGCAGGTCCAAGGAAGAAGGAACAAAGATTTAGCTTCGCTGTACTATAAATGATCGAGATTAGAATTCTTCCTTGGAAGCAGGAGGGGAGCGCGGAGGCCAGCACTGAGTTACAGGGAGGTGCGTGGGGCTGGAGGAAGGAAAAAAGGGTGAAGAGAGTGGTAGCACAGAAAATCCGGACTGAGAAGACTTGGGGGATCCGCTTCATTTTTTTGCTTGGAGCCCTTCCAGCTGCTGGTGCTGCCCTACTCCACATGCAGGGGGCAGCATTATTCCATACTTTTGGAGCCTTTGGGAGAGCCAGGCATATAGACAGATACTGAGCATGAGTCTTTCAGGTTTGGTATCAGGCATTTTCTCATTTTGGTGAAATGTGGTCATGCATACCAATACCCTGCTAATTTACTCCTTATCAAAGATGACCCGATGAAATGATGAAGATCAGCTTTATCTTTGTCCAGCTCCTGCTTCCTAGAATTGGGACTTTACAATGGTCAATGGAGTGACCTGCACATTTAGAATATATTAAAGACATCAGACTGGTTGGTTCTTTTGTCTAAATGTATAGTCAGTTCATAGACTCAGAACCACCAAATCTCAGAGTTGGAAAGGACCTCAGTGATTTAATCATAGGGTCATGGATTTAAAAGTAGACCTCTAGTTCAACACATTTTACAGATGGGAAAAATGAAGCCCAGAGAGGCCTTGCTCCAAAGCTGCACAGTAAGCTAGTGACAGAGTCCAACCTGGGGAGAAAGGTCTCTTGAATCCCAGCCCACAGCTTTACTGCTTGATGATTTTGCTAACTAATATGTTCCTGATGTTGACCAGTGGACCACGAGAGAATGTTTGTGTCCAGTAAAAGCCATTCCACAAGAGAGGTATCCCCAGAGGTTCAACTTGCTTTCAAATAAATAAAACTGCAATGAGTTGAGAAATGGCATATGATTATTAAATTTAATTGTTCACTCAATGACCATGGCTCATGAAGGATATTCCATTAACATGTGTGTATGTACATACATATTTTATATATATATATATACATATTCCTCCCCTGTCTCTGCCATCTCTTTCTCTACCCCACTTCCTATAGACAAACTCTTCCACTTTTAGCTCAGAGCTCAAGGGCTCTGAGGTCATGGAATGAACTGAACAAAGTCATCACAGAGGCCTGGGGGACCTGTTGTACCTCAAAGGCAAACTGAGTCTGGGAGTAGCAGGAGGGATCACATACAACATACGAAGTTCACCAACTCTGCTCCACTGACAAATAGCATCCAGTGTGACATGAGCCATGGGGTAGGAGTAGCTGTGAGTACATACATGTGTGATTTTTGTTTTTTCTTTTTTTCTTAAAGAAAATTACAAAAACAGTAGGCATCTGCAGCTGGGTCATGACCATGCCTATCTCTGAGGGCCAGGAGGCCCCAGATGGGCAGGAGTTGGAGGTGGGGGGAAGGAGGTGAGGCCTTCTAGGCTGTAGTTTTAAAAACCAGGCCTGAGGCAAGGCAGGTTAAAGGCCCAGGGTCCTAGGACACTTGGGATAGGGATGAGGATCACTGGGATGCTCAGACTCAAAACGGGAATGGCCCAGCCATATGCAGTACATTCATTGTGTTAAGGAGTAAGATGAGATGAATTCTTCAGACCAGGGTCTCCATGTGATAGGGAGGGACCCTTCTTTACTGAGCACGGTGTGGCATCCTCTTCTTCACTTATGAAGGCCTGTGGGAACAGTGAGAAGAACTGGGATTAGGAAGGCCCAGGTCACAAATAGAAAACTTTTCCAAAGGAAAGTTTTTTATCCAGATGAAAGAAGAGTCAGGGGTAACTGGATTCTCATTTTCAAATTTTCAAAGGGTTTTCCAAAGAATTCTATTGTACCATGGTGGTCAAGAAGAGGAAATGGGCTTAAAAAGTCCGTTGACTCCCTGACTATAAAGGAAATCAATCTGCCCTTCCCCCAAGTAAAAGCTAACTTGGTACCATATGCCAAGTACTGAGCTAAGCCCCTTACAATTATTATCTCATTCGATCCTTACAGCAGTTGCTCTTATTATCCCAATTTTACAGATAAGGAAACTGAGGCAGAAAGCAGTTAAGTGACTTGCCCAGAGTCACACAGCTAGTAAGTATCTGAGGCTGGATTTGAACTCAGGTCCTCCTGAGTCCAGGCCCAGCACTCTGTGCATTCTGGCATCACCTAATATCTCTCATTCAACTGGGCTACAGGCAATTAATTGTTCGATCGCTTCAGTTATATCTGACTCTTTGTGACCCCATTTGAGGTTTTCTTGGCAAAGACACTGAAGTGGTTTGCCATTTTATTCTCCAGCTCATTTTACAGATAAGGAACTGAGGCAAACAAGGTTAAATGACTTGTGTAGGGTGACACAGCTAGTTAAGTGTATATGAACTAGTAACTGTCTGAGGCCAGGTTTGAACTCACGAAGAAGAGTCTTCATGATTTCAAGCCCAGGGCTCTTTCCACTGTGCCACCTAGCCATCCCATGGATCACTGCTTAATTTCATAGACTTGTAAGATCTGCAACAGGAAAAGATCTTAGATATCATCTAGTAAAGTTCAACCCCCCCTCATTTATATATATAAAGAAATAAGGTCTAGAGAAATTAAATGACTTTCCCAAGATCACACGTGGAATAAACAGCAAAACTGGGTTTCAAACCCAAGGCCTCTGACGCCAAAGTTAATGCTCTTTCTATTACTTGAGAGCCCAGGAGTGTGCTATCTGATGAGACATTCCTTCTGAAACATCACTAACTTCCAGTGTTCCTTGATAATGAAAGAATGGGTAACTATCCATTATAAAAATAGCAGATAATCTAAAAATAACTAAAATCTGGTTTTAGAGTGCTTTTGGACCACATACATTAACTGATGGTGAAGAGAGATGGCACAAGAAGGTTTTTAATGACACAAGAAGCCAAGTTGAGATATAAATTTTGTTGCAGAAATTCTACAAAGATAATTTGACAAATGCCCAATTTTAATGAAGAGGTCTGGGAACGGTCAATTGCATAAGATCCACAAAAAAAAAAGACTTCTTTGAGTTCCCTAACCCTATCAAAAATATCTACTTTAGACTCCTGAAGACCTCAGAGAGAAAAAAAACAACAACTTTATGGAGAAAGATACCAAACTCAGCTTTAGGCCATATCAATTAGAACATACTCCTTAATTCAAAGGATTGTCCACGCAAAGCTCTCACAGGAAGTGTAGAGGTCAGGGGATTGAAAAGTAACAAAGGCAGTAACATAGTAGGAGGAGACTGGGCATGAATGCTTGCCTGGAGGAATCAGGCCTTATAGGCACAGCAAAAATTTTGTCTGCTAAAAGGGACACAACACTGGGGAGAAATAGTGTGTATTTAGGACAATGAGAATTGAAGCATTTAATTCACTGCATAGAGGCATTACCATAAAAGAATGTCAACTCTGTCCCAGGACCTCCATCTGTCAAATCCCAGATAAATAAGCCCCTAGTGGAGAGGTCCTACTGTGAGGGAACATACATGGAATATCAGGGCTTTGAGGGTCTCTCCCTCTAGGGCCTATACTTACAGGTACGTCTGCTTGAACAATAGGTTGGAGGGCTTTTCATTGACATGGTAGAGAGGAAATGGATCAAATCCACCAATGAAATCAACTGAAAGAAATTAAGACCCAAATAAAACAAAACCAAAGCATGGCAGATGGTGTTTAAAAAAAAAAAAGGAAACTAAACCAAACCAACAGAAGCAGCAGCATGTAATGACAGATGGACATGAGAGATCCTCTACAATAGACAGGAATGGACATTCCTGGCTCCCCCTTCCTCCCCCCCCTGCCACTGGCGGCCTCAGGGAAATCAAAGCACCATACCCACTCCAGGACTCCAGCAAGCCTACTTTCTCTAGAATGGAAGTGGTTTAGCAGGTGACTTCCTACTCGAATGTTTTTAAACAGAT